AACACAAGCGAGCAATAGAATCTCAGGAGCACTCACGTGTATCTGGGCGACGGAGTGCGGGTGGTCGGGGCTTGTGACGGCCAGTACTTCAAAGCGGGCACAAGCGGGTCCGAACCACGAGTCCTTAGCGCATCAAGTTGGGTTGGAGGGGAGCTAATATGCAAGTAAGACACAATATCTATAAAGGTCTAACAACAAACAAGCATAAAAGCAAGGCAACACTTGGTAGAAGGCTTTAAGATTTCATTAATCATTCGCCCTCTAAAGAGCTTTAAATGACATACAAGGAGAATCCCTAGTGAATACTGATCTGACAGTAACACAATAATGGGACCTCAAGCTAAGAAAACATAACCTAAACTCTAGGAAAGCACTTAAATGGAATCTAATACATCAAAAGGAGTTGGATTCTAACACTCAGCCTCTTCTGCGAGCCTTGCCCCAAGGCGGAAGACACCATGAGGCAAAGCGAAAGTGCTACAAGTATCTTGGTACCACCCATAGTTAAAAAAACACTTAGAAATAATTTGAAGAGTAGAGAGGAAATTATACGTTATGTTATAAAAGAGTGAGTGTAAAAGTTGCTTTTATAAGCATGAAAAACGGTTCATTTTTGCCACATAGTATTAGGGTGTGCAGAAATTATGTAGTTGTGTTAGTAAGGTGGTGCCTCAACGTGGGTGTTGCATGAAAATATGGGGCCAAAGAGGTGTCAAAATGCATGGTTATGTTTGTTATCGTACATTTGGCTTAAGGTTTGGTTGAAGCTAGCATAAGTTTAACACAACATTCCAAATGAAACATGCAAGGTGACTAAGTTTAATGTAGAGCTGTTTCGAAATGTGTTTATTATTATGTTTTTGTCCTAGGTTTGGTAAATGGTAATGAATGAAATGTCACACGTATTAGGAAAATAGTACTTAGTTGTTTTTTATTGCAACATGGATTTTGTTATTTGACATAAGAGTTCGACCGTATATAACGATGTATGAAGTAGCTTTTGATACTATGTAATTAAATAAGGACGATTTAGAGTTTACAAAATTTGCTAACTTACTATCACCGATGAAGCTAGGGGGTTGGTAGGGTTGCAGGCAAATTAGGTGGTTACCCGATTTACCTGGCCTGATCAAAATACGATTGGAACTGAACTATTTTATTGGTTTCATATTATCAATTTAGCTGATTATAGACCCGTATCCTATTATTCACTCAGGCCACCATGCGCCTTTATGTTTCTGACTAATGGAAATATACATTTCCAAATAACCGTTTATGATCTCTAAAAATTATCCTATTTATGTATTTGTGGATTATAGCCTTTGAATAATTTTCGACTTTTTTGGACCGGAGAAAGAAATAGATTGGGGGTGCTTTCTATGGACCCAAAACCTTATATGTGGCCAGAACCATCTCATTCATGCCTTGACCCTATAAAATCATGTCTTATGTTGCCTTTAGGTGCCTTAGCTTGTGATGCCATGGATTGGCTTTGCGTTGCCTTGCCTTCCTAACTTAGCTCCTAAGCCTTGCATTGCATTATCAATTTAGTTTCCAGTGATTGAGGTGCTTCCCATGCTTTCTGATGTGAATCGAGTCCCCTTTCTTATAACTATTTTTATTGCTTTATTTCTTATAACCCCTCTCTTGGTTTTACCTTACTCTTAAAGTAGGGGTTTTACAAGTGAGTTTTGAATAATGTTTTGGGAAATTATCAATGGTACCCCCAGGTTCGGGCTTTTCTCAATGATACACTTCATTACGCTTTCATTATCACTAGTACGCCTAAACTTTTCCCTAAATACCTACCGTACCCTTTTCGTTAAAAAAACGTTAGCTTTGGCTTTTTTTTCAATTTTTTTAACTTAAAAAAATTAATTAACTATTTTTAACTTATCTAAAAAAAAAAACCTTCTTTCTCCCTCATCTCCCTTCCATGGCCTTCCTCCAACCCCTTCCACCATCTAGGCCAACAATACTGTGGCGCCACCCCCACCACCATCACCACCACCACCACAAACCTCAAAACCCCCACAACTTGACAACCAACATATAACTCAGCCCCATAACCACGACCCTACCCCGAATCCACTTCAGCCACCACCACTGAAAAACCACCACCGCCACACCAATTCAGCCACCACCATCTCCACCACCACCCAAACCCAAATCCTGGAACCACCATCCCACCAGACTCGAAACCACCAGCCAACCCAACCCCAAAACACCATCAACTTAAACCCAGCCAACTTCAAAACCATTCGAAAACCCACCAAACTAAACCCGACATTGGGTTCGACGCGAAATTGGGGCAGAGAGTTCGACGCAGCTTGAATCGGAGGATGGGGGAGGTCAGCGACGCCGGAATTGGGGGATGGGGTGGGTCAGCAAGGTCGAAATTTGGGGGGGGGGGGTGGGTTTGGATTAATGGGGGAGGTTAGTGCTTATTTCTCTCTGGAATAATCATCCAAATCTTCCATATTTCTATTATTTTTCTCACTTTCTCTCTCTAATTGATGTTGACGGTGGTTGGAGATGGTGGTAGCGGTTGCAGTGGGGAATTGCGAAGCTAGAGGCGTTGCTCTGGGCAGTGACGGTGCTGTAATTAATTGAGGTTGATGCAGGGGATGCGTGGTTGTTGATGTTGTAGTTGTTGCGGTGGTGATTGGAGGTGGTATGGGTGTGGAAATGCGTGGGAGTTGGAGCTGGTGATGCGGTGATGTGGCGAGCTGCTGGTTGTGTTTGGTGGATGGTGGTTGAAATGGTGGTGGCGCTGTGGGGGCGTGAAGTGGTGCTGCGTGGGTAATTGAGAGGAGCAGGGAAGGTATATTGGTGTGAATGGTGGAACAGGGGATTAGCAGGGAAGGTGAGTTTCGTTGGTTTCGACCATAATTAACGTTTAGTTAATGTTAAGGTTACTGTAGGTATTTAGGAAAAAGTTTAGGTGTACCGGTGATAATGAAAGTTTAATGAAGTGTATCATTGAGAAAAGCCTGAACCTGGGGGGTATCATTGGTAATTTCCCTAATGTTTTTATTATTTTCTTAGTAATAGTTATGGGGCCTTGGGCTTTTAAAGTTGTGTTAATTAATTAGTGGGCTCTCTTGTTTCATTAATTAATTATTAGGGCTTTTTATTTAGTTTGCTTGAGGGCAAGTAGGATAGATTTGCTTTTCCTATATATATACTAGTTGTATGTCAATTATTATAGGAGGATGTTTTATGATTTAAAAGTTGAGATTATTGAGCTTTTGCTTGAAGAGAACTTTGTTAAGGTTCAAACTAGTTGTTAACTAGAATTTTGGGATCGTTGCTTCTAAGATCAAACTTAGAAGTCGTTGCCTTCTAAAACTATCTTTCAAATTTCCACCATTAAAATCACTCAAATCCTTCCATTAAATATAAACCGTCAAAAATACGCATCACTTTCCAAGAGATCCTGGAAGACTTATCTTATTGGCTGGAACCATCTTATTCATTTCTTAACCCATGAAACTGCACCCCTAGTCATCATGTATTTGCTACCTTGACCATGCCTTGCTTAGTCAACCAAAATTACTGGCTCAGTTATTGCATATGATGTCACAAAATCGTATTACGTTCGTCTTAAACTATATCAATATTGTAAATAGTTAGTTGCCCATTATGGCACTTTTGAGTCTCCCATTGTTTTTTCAACCATAACGAAGATGATGAAATTGGTAAGTGATGCAACTTGCTGCTTCATTTTCAAGCTATTGAAGAATAATTTGATACACAATGTATGTCCACTTGGAAGTTGGAACATTCTAGTCTATAATTATTCAAAAAGAAAAATCCCTCATTTTTTATATACATATTCCTAGTTACGTAGACATCAACCTCACATATAGCGTTATAATTAGGCAACAGTCTCCCGCATTAGCCTACTTAATTAGTTATCCATTTATACTCCTAGGAATGTCTCACTCTTTATATCTACAAACTAGCCAAACCCCAAGCACAAAAACTTAATCTAACATCTCTATCTCTCCTTGTCATGAGCGAGATTACATATATCTGAACCTCTTCAAATCTCGACCTTAAATATTACAGAGTACATTCCATACTAAATTGTCGTTGTTACATAGTTGATCTCTCTCGATCATGTCTTGTTCAAGACTAAAAAGAGGACGGATTCAACTCCAAGCAATGAGCAAGGTGGTGTGGAAAAAGCTCACAAAGAGCACCAAACTACTGCACAAGTTAATCACTCATGGATCAAAGAAGCTTATAGTGATAAATAAGCCTAGGAAGACTAATATCAAAACTCCTCTATATTTGTCTCCTAGGCGTACTGCCCTCAAAAGAAAGAAGTTGTACAAAAAATACAAGTTTCCTCCTGTAGAGTCTCCTATATACATAGATAATCTCTTCAAAACTTCTTATCCTTCCTCTTCATCATCGAAATTAACCATGCAAGTTCGTGACAAGATTGACAACGTTCATGAGAACAGCCATGTTGGTGCTGCATCTCTTGGATCGACGACATCAGTGTTGGGGATCGACGCGAGAGCTGAAGAATTCATTGCTAGTTTCCGAGCTGAGTTAAATAAGAGTTTTAGGAACATGTAACTTAGTGGTGTAAGTCATTCAATTTGTACTACTGTTAATTTAAGTATAATTTTAATTATAATTATATGTCCCAGTTCAAACTCAACAAGCTCTCGTAGCTCAGTTGGTTAGAGCACCCGTTTAGTAAGCGGGAGGTCTTGAGTTCGACTCTCAACGAGAGCATTACAGTTTATTTTTGTCTTTTTGTTTTTTTAATTAGAGAAGAGGAAAGCCAAACATGTAATGATAAGCAGATTATGGAGTTACAGGCCTAATAATAGTTACCCCATAAGAAGAAAATGAACAAAATTATTTGCTGAATTCTATGGTATATTAGTCGATGAAATCCTCGATAAATGAACGATACAGTTCATCACACAAAAGAAAAGGGAACATGAGCACATAGCAACCAAAGCGAAATTTGTAGGTCAGATGTAATATGAATCATACTGCATGATGTCATGAGATAGTGTACAGACAACAGAGGGAACAATAATACACATAATTTTGCAAATATTATTGCAACAACAAAAAAACCTCCCAAATGACATTCACAAGCGACCTCAAATACTTTGTTTAGTATATACAAACAGCATGAGTACTAGAAAGGAAGCTCTTAATTCTACTGATACAAATGTCATCTATATTCTATAAGACTATAAGAGCACAGCTTCACAGGAAATCCTTCATAGGATCATCGTGGTGGATCCTCTTCATTCGGAAAGCTTCCATCTCTTCTGGTGTAACATCATTATCATATTTAATGTTGTATTTTCGTTTCCTTTCGTCTTTCTCTTCTTTCTTTTTTGCATTTTCCTGTGCAAGCACATCAAAGGACAAGTGAGAACATACATCATTACATCACGAAATCTAGACTTTTGAGAGTGCTAGACAAGACTGAGAAAGTCTTTGCCAGTCAACTGTTCTTATCCTATACGACTATAACAAATTCTCGTTGGTACTTTATAAACCTCCTGTTTGAAAAATATTATACCAACATGAGATTTAAAAAGAAGAACCAATATGAATTCATTATTGCCCTATTAGACAGGAACAATTGCTTTAGAAGCCCTCCGCAACTATGGGAGTGGATTTAAGTTCACTCCCTACATGTAGGCCGATTAAGGTTTAAGTGTGGTTTAAGTGTCTAATTCTCTATCATTCCCAAATCCAATTGAGAAAATCATAAAATTTCAGAAATTATGAAAAAAGTACCTTTTTAATAGCTTCAGCAAGTTTCTTCTCATCCAGAACCAAATCTTCAGGCACCTCTGTACCCCAAGTAGCCAGCCTTTTCTCTTCTGTAGACTCTGGTTTTTCTGTTATCATGGCAAAATACACAAATCAGCATATAATAGAGAAGGATAAGTCAAATAGTGCAACAATAAAGCATCATCAATCTTTATGTGAGAAGACATTACTATTTTCATGACCAGATACTTTACAAGGAACAAATCAGCAAACAGATAGAGGGAAAGGGGAGATCCAGAGTCCTAGAAACTTCCTGAGGAACCGATTTAAAAAAATGAAACATGGCCAAATATAGCAAACCTTCAGAAGTTTCTTTGCGGGCAATGTTAGCTTTCATCAGCTCTCCTGATGCTTCTGCAGCCTCAATCCCTGCAGCACCTGTACAATAGCTGTTTCGAATTGTCTGCTTGCAGCATTTGTAGCCCCATTGGAAATCACTCCACCATGACCCCCAAACAGTGGTGTGATTATTAGCGTATACGTCTTCTTCATATTTACTCTTGGGAACTGCCATCTCCTATCAATGCACAACAAAGATAAGACATGTGATAAGCTAACAGACAACAAACCGAGAACGATTTACATTAGCTTCACCCATCAGCAATGTAGAATATAATACCTGCCCCTTGATTATCCGGCCAGCACGATCGTATTCAACTTGTCTATCACTCTGACCAAGTAGAAGTTCCCGTGGAATCTCCTCTTCTGTTGCAGCATTGCCATACTTCTCCATTATGGTATCCTTCACCTGGGTTTTCAACTTCTCTTTATTGACCTTAAAGTTCTTGTAAAGTAACTCAGCTTGGGAAGGAGCTGCTTGCATATGCACATCCTGTCCCTTGTCAAATGCCTCAAAAGCATGTAAATTGAGCTGCTTGAACTCCAAAGCTTGACCACTGAGGCGATTTTGATTATCACCCTACACAAAGATTACAATAATAAAATTAAACCAGTGCAAAGGGTATGATTAGACACGACTAAACATGAGAGACTTGGCAAGTTTAAACAAAATTCTTCAAAGCACTTACAGCATAAAACTTCTCATTCGGATCAGCATCAGGAAGAGGATCCTCACGCATGGACCGGGTTTTAGGATCATAGTAGGCCGAATCGACATCAAGATTCAATAAATATTTGGCTGTATCTTCTCGGATACGCAAGTTTCTAAATCATAGAAAAAACATCCCAAGTTAGCAACAAGTTCTAAGCAACGACTGCAGAAAGCAAAAGTAATTACAGACTACAAAGGTAGGGCTTCTAATTTATCTTCAGGTCAGTGGCTATTCAGACCAGCAAGATTTCAAACTAGTGGATGATTATAAGTGAAAGTGTGAAACCACCTAATTTTGAACAGTAGAGAAGCCCCAAACAAAGCTATATGAGCACATGCCAAAGGCTAAATGGCAAGCAGGTACTACGCACTTACATGTCTTGGTGGTTAAAATTTATAAACTTGAACATTTAATTAGTCACTTTCATATGATTGCCATTTTAATTACTCTCCATCTGGAAATATTAGCTACATAGCCAATTTAGATATGTTGGGAAAAGTTACATCAATATCAATCCAATATAACTTAACCTGGGTTATGTACTCTTCAACTGAATAAAGTGATCACAAATCTTACCTTACAGTTCCAGTACTTCCTCCACCAGTGGTACGTACACGTTTTTCAACCTTTGCAAAATCCATTTGTTTACTCTCATCAACCTTGGCCTCATCAACCTTCAAAGCATCTTCATCATCATCTTCATCATCTTCATCTTCATCAGCCTCACCCTCTTCACCAGTTTTATTTTTCTCCTCGAGCTTTTTCAATTGTTGTTCCTTTAGGTATTTTTTTCTTGCTTCTTCCTTTGCCTCATATCTATGAACAACATAGGCATAACTTGCAGGATCAAAACCATTCCATCTGTCACGTTTCCCATCAAAATCCAGTTCAAACTCCTCTATTATTTCATCAGGTGCAATGTGTTTCCCTGTCCACTTTGCACCAACTCTTCGAGGTCTGTCCATGCAAGATTTTGCATCATGGGTCATGGCGCCACAACTGCAGAGAACACGGTAAACTTTAATCGCATGGAAAAAAAATTAATATTTTTTCAACGATTAAGACACCAATAGAGGCAATTACACCAAAAAAAACTCTTATAAGAAATACAGTAGATACTAAATACTCAGCATGAAAGGAGCTTATACAGAAAAGTCCTCAGCATTATATGAACCAATCCCAGGTTTCGGAAAGCATGTTGGATAGAGCTCTAGATGAGTTAGAAATAAAAAAAATTCCGCATAGAATGTGCATAGTTTTCTCGACAAATTCTAACAAACACTCTGCTGACTCTGGATTATTTGAAACGGTTACCAAAAATTAAGATTGTATAGAACATTGAAAAATCCATTCAATTCCACACTTCCACTTAATTGTCCTCATTAATTCCAAGTTCCAAACTAACTTCTGATTTTAAAACTTTCACTTATTTTGTCATCAATAACAAGTTTCAAAACACACTGGAATAGTAGAAATCCTTAGGTTCAAGTACATATAGCTAGAAAAATAAAACAGGTAAGTAAATGCGCACACACACACATACATTTAAAAAATTAAGTATTCAGGCTCAACTTACTTAGCACAAGAACCCTTCCGAAACTTATTAGCCTGGAAACCCTTTTCACCTCTGTTATACCACGATTTCGTGTAATTCGGATCCGATTTCCACTTCCTTTGATGCTTCAAACTCTGAAAACCCACCAAAATTAAAAAAATGTTAGTCCCTGAATCTTCTATACAACACCACCAAATGCAATCAACAAAGAGAAACCCTAATAAAAAAAAAAAAAAAAGTATCGAAACGTACCGGCTTATTCGAATTGAGATACCAAGGAGCAGAAGACATATACTGCGGAATATGAGGATTAATTTCTTTTCCATCTTCATCAACCTCTGCTGGTGCAAGCCCAGCTTTACGAGCTTCCTCTAATTCTAGCTGCTTCCTATGATCTTCCCTAGACTTAAACGCCACTGCAAAAATTTCCCCAAATTCAATTCACAAACAACTCCAGTTTAATCAATTAAATCAAACAATCACTCAACTTCATAATATCCTCAATAAATCAAAATTAACAAATCATAAAACCTCAACAATCATTAATTAACGGTTTAAAATAAATTTAATTAGAAAAAAAAATTAATTCATCGAATCTAACCTAAAGCATGAGATCAAACCCTAGAATAAAATTGAATTCGATAATTTTGTCAAAATCATACCTGAAGCAGTCGCCATTGTTGGCTAATTGGATGAAACAATAAATCGTTGAATTTTCCAGCAAAAGTAGAGAATTGAGGAGAGAGAAAGCGTGGAGGAGGTTGCGGTCGTGGTTGTGGTTATGATTTCCGATCAATGACGCGGCAGCTTTCTCTTTTTATTTTTCTTAACCGACTTTGATTTTCTTTATCTAAAAAAATTTCAATTAGCTATAATGGGCCTAGGCCTATAAAGGCTATAATAGAGAGCTTTAGATGTATATTAGTGAATTTGCCATTAAGGTACTGGGTACATATACATCTAAAGTCCTCTATTATAGTTTATAGGCCTAGTTCCATTATAAACTAATTGAAATTTTTGTGGCGCATCAGGGTAGTAATTCACTATTTATGCCCAATCGTAACCAATGGAAACCAATTTATACAAGCAGGAATGGGCCAAAGCTTTCCAATATATGTTTAGCCGATGATATCATTCTATTTGCGGAAGCAAGTGTTGAACACGCCACCATTATTAAAAGTTGCCTAGATAGATTTTGTGGCGCATCAGGGCAGAAAGTTAACTACCCCAAATCACGTGTGTATTTCTCAAACAACATGAGAAATAATGCCACGCATAGCATCAGCCAAGTTCTGAATATTGCTGTTACAGACAACCTAGGTACCTACCTAGGGGTGCCAACCTTGACAAGCAGAGTAACGAAAAATACTTTCGCATACCTTTGTAGGGTATAAAACTAAGCACTTATCACTTGTTGGTCGAATAACTCTAGCGAAATCAACACTCACTACACTGAGCTCTACGCTATCCAGATTGTCAAGCTTCCAAGAACCATTTGCGATGATGACATTGATAAAAGAACTCGAAAGTTCATATGGGGTGGCAATAAAGAACAAAGAAGAATTCACCTCTTGTCTTGGGACTGCCTTCAACTACCTAAAGAGCAAGGAGGCCTTAGCATCCGAAATTCAAGGCAAATGAATGCTGCTTTCTTGACTAAATTAGGATGGCGTATGCTTGTTGAACCTAATGCCCTATGGTCAAGAGTCTTACGTTCAAAATACCATAAGGGTCGCTGTGACTTGAACATGTTTGAGGGAAAATCAAATATGTCGAATGTGTGGATAGGAATTTCTGAAAATGCGAAATTTATCACTCAAGGTGCACGAGTTGCTGTAAACAATGGGACCTCCACCCTTTTTTGGGACCATAGTTGGGTTACTTCTACCCCTCTGCGTGAACAAGCTACTGCAGAGATACCTAAGAGTATAAGTGGAACTATAGTTGAGGAGTTGTGGGGTCATAATGAAGGGTGGAAGTGGGAACTTTTTGCGAACTTACTTCCTGCCGATACACTAAAGTTAATTGATACTTATGCTTAAAGAGCAGACCCGGATGTGGGGAATTTGTTGTATTTGGGAGGTGCTTCTAAAGGCAAATTCACTATCATATCAGCACTCCAACTCATTCGTAGAGAGCAACCAAAGTTACAGGATGGCTGCTGGGAGCTTGTTTGGAAGTTAAAAGTCCAACAAAGAATACGTGTTTCATGTGGCTTGTATTACACGACAGAATTTTAACGAATGCTAATCGAGTGAAGCGCAGCATTGCAACTAACCCTTGGTGTAGATCATGTGGAAACCAAGAAGAGACTACTTTACATGTCTTGCGTGATTGCAAGGCAGCTAGGGATGTTTGGAGGCATGTGGGTGGCCCAGCAAGTACGAGTAACTTCAGGTAAGGCTCACTTAAGCAATGGATTGTGGAAAGATTAAGGTACAATCTCGAAACGATCGCTCCCCCGAAACTTGGCCAACTTATTTTGCTATTGTTGTGTAGTGGATATGGAAATAGAGAAACAATGTTGTGTTTGGGAATACCAATGAAATTCCACTTGAGGTTGGCAAGTTTCTCTTGGCAAGATTTGAAGAAACATGGAGGATTCTAATTGATGGTATAATAGCTGAAGCAACAAATACGAGTGCAAGAAGGGAAGTTTACATTTAGTGGCAAGCTCCACCTTATGGTTGGCTAGCTCTCAACACAGATGGGGCGGCTAAAGGTGCACCAGGGCCAGCTGGTGGTGGAGGAGTACTTCATGATTACACAGTGAAGATGAGATATGCCTTCTCACTGAACCTAGTTGCTTATACAACCTTCATGGTTGAGCTCAGAGTTGTAGAGTATGGGATTGAGTTGGGTGATCGTATGAGAGCTGTGATGTTACAAGTGCAGCTAGATAACAAAGCAGTGGTTTTGGCCCTAAACAACCCCAAGGCTACCAATGAAGGGGAAGGAGTTCACATCACCAGACGCCGCAAGAGGATGCTAGAAGACACTAAGTGGCGTGTGGAGGTGCATCATATTTACAGATAAGAAAATCGAGCTGCTGATTGGCTAGCTAATCAAGGTGTTTCCCAAAATAACAAGATCGAGTTGATTCAATTCCCTTCTATAGCTTTAGGACGTATTTTACATAAGGATGTCGTAGGTGTAGCTTTGCCACGTTTAGTTCCGCCGTAGTTTTATTTTGTTTTTTCTTTCCCGAGGCCTAGCCCCTCGTTTGCATCAAAGGAATATATATATATATATATATAAGACAACAATAGGAAAATATTTCGCACAAGTTGTATAAGACACGAGTCGAGAATGTGCCGAAATGTTATATCTATGTATTTGGATTCTTAGCCCTTCCCCGATTAATTTTGTTTGATTTTGTTAAATATGTTTTCATTATTGTTAATTGTCAATTGAAGATGTTGTATGACTTTATCTAGTGAAATTTAATGTCTTGTAGAACTTCTTTAAAAAAAAAAAAAATTTACGTGAAATCATTTATAAAATAACAAATTACGTGTAACTACGTAAATATATATTATATTGCACTTAGTTAACTGATATAATTATGTGTATTGATACATAAATTAAAATTTGCAAATTATTATTCTTATATTAAATAATTCAATGTTAAATAAATCATTCTTTATTTATTAAAAAAAAAATCAATTAATTGTTATGAGCCTAGGCCTATAATAGTGGCCTTTAAATGTATATGTACCTTAATGGTAAATCCACTATTTATGCCCAGTCTTTTTCAACTTATTTTTGTTGAAATGAAATTATATTTATTGAAACTCCTCATATGAAGTAATGACAACATGTCAAAAACTATTATTGGTGGCGTAGGTGAGGTCGTGAGGGCGTTAAAAACTTCACTTCCAAGCGGGTGTGACATAAGCAACCTCAACAAACTGGTACTGTAATCCACTTGCGGCGGCGGCAATGGTGAATTAGTCGGCGGCAGCGGAGAATCGGCCAAAGGTGGCGGAGAGTCGGCCATCGATGGCGGTGAAGGTGGTAGTGGCAGTGGTGGTTGAGGAGGAGAGGAGGGTGGAGATTCCATTTTTGGTTTTGGGTGACGTGATGTAATGCGTGAGTGGGGTGTAGAGGTGAGCCCATTATATAAAGGGTAAAATAGGGGAGAAAAACTTTTTGGATAAGGATTTTTTTTTTTTTTACCTGTAAAAAAGGATGTTGATTTTTTGGATATTTGCTTTTTTAATACAAAGTATTGTTTTTGTGTAATTAGACAAGTCTAACCAACTTTTACTTTTATCGATTTTTATTTTATTAAAATAATCTTTTTTAATTAAATCTATTTTGAAATCATATAAGAGGAAATTATCAAAATGTTCAAGCAAATAATTATAATATGGGACTATGGGTATCAAGACTATCAACTAATTTATTCAAGTCTTCAAGCAAAAAAATTTAATCTAATTGTAAGTCATAAAAAAAAACAATTTGATTTAAAGACAAAATAAAGTAAACTGTCAAAATTTTCAAGCAATTTTTTTTTTTTTTTTTATCAAACAAGATAGCTGAAGAGATTATCATCGTACAATAAAATTCAAACCCTTGCACAAATTTGATAGTATGGCCTATATCCAATCACCCAGCCAATAATTTTCCAAAATATCCATAATTCTTATTCTTGAAAATTCAATCCCAATTGCTGCATCTTTGCCCAAAATCTAAACCGACACGACATAAACATAATCCAAACCGACACGACATAAATATAAAATTTCGATGAAAAATTACATGTACTATGTATTATAGGTCAATTTCAGGTGGAGACCAAAAAACTATTTTATATATATCTGAAATTCTCTATGACTATGCTTTTTATACGAGATAATGATAAACTTATGTGACTTGAAAAACACATGAATGATGAATCTGACCATATCTAGTCTTGATCATGCTTAGTTGATGTCAAGTGAGTTAATCATCTATTAACATGCTTTTTTTCATGGACACATTTTCTTCATTTTTTCCAAATCTTTTCCTTATGTTTTCTACGAAGTATAATTTCTAGTACGGAACAATAGTCTAACCCCCCCCCCCCTCCCTCCCCTAATTGCATTGGGCTTATTAATTCCCTTTTTGCTGGACAGTATTTCTACTGCAACTGTTTAGTACCTCGTGGGCAGTATTACCATGCAAGTTCATTTTTGTGTCCATGGTCGTATGGTACCTTGTGAGCAAACGGGTAAAATAATTGTCTTGGTTGTATTTTCACCTGTCAAAAATTAGACACTAATTAGTTTTAGACAGGAAATTTGAGTTAAAGAAAGATCAACCAACTTCTTATCATCTTATGCCCATTCACATATTGACACATATTGTGAAAGTGCATAATCATATACTGATAGAGTTATGAGAAATAGAATGTTGGAAAATTTGATTATATTGATGATTATACAAGAGTATTTATTGTACATAAGTAAGCATTAGACTATGACTAGATACATTAGAGTATATGTCCAGGTACATTAGACAATAGTTAGGGAAATCTTTGACAATCAACCTAATTGTGTAAATCACAGAGTAAATCAAGGGATAATGATATTGTTAATATCATTATCCTTTACACGCCCCCACAAGACGGACGTCCGGAACGAGAGACCGATCTTGGATATAATAACGCAAATCGATCTTGGTCAATGTACGAATTGAAGTGTAGTTGGTGAGAAAGGTTGCATTGCATTGTCATTCTCCGAGATGGTTTGGAGAGAGTTTAGGTTTTTTTTTTTCCAAATGTATAGAGAATAAGGAGTTGCTTAATGGGTGCTTTTCACGGTTGTATGACACGCGAACCATTGACTGCAAAATTAATAAAATGAAGAATTTTTGCTAGCATAGCATGTGCTTGCAACATATGGGAGAAGAATAAAAATATAGGGATTCCTTCACAACTATTGAAGGCAAGATAGAAAAGAATGTAATGGTGTTGATGGTGATTTAGAACGGAAAGAATGTTATGTTTCTCCATAATGGTTTTGGATAGATAATTTCATGTTTGGCAACACTTGGTAGGTAAATTAAGAGATGCCGAAAAGGTATTGTTTCTCCGTAAGAGGTTTGGAGAAAAATAAATGACAATTATTAGCATCTCTTGGTATATGAAATATGGGGTGCTAAAAGAGTTGAGCGGAAATTTGACATTTGAAGATTTCCGAGAAGAAAGTTTGATATGGTCACCATCATTTACATATACGAGTATCTAATAATTTCTCGAGAAAATACAAATTTATCTTCATGATAAATAAGTGTTTATCTAGTGGCATTTCTATAAATAAATCAACAACTTTTATTAAATGTGGATCTTATAAATATTGATTTATTATTTACGAATATATCATGCTGATTGTAATATTTGTTAATTTATTTACAAAAATGTTACTAAATAAACATTTTTTGTTTATCACGAAGATTAATTAGGCTTCCTCTAATTTCTCTGTGTTTGACTTTTAAAATCAAAATGTGTACATTTGATCTATTGATCCAATGTACTCCTAAAACAGAAGCAAAAAGGCTATAGTGGTACAGACTTAATTCAATAGTTGTCTTTATTTTATATTTTAATTATATTATTGTACACTTGTTTTGTTTTTTTGTTTTTTTTTTCATGTGATTTTGCCTTTACTGATCTTTTTAACGTGTCTCAATTATAAAAATATCCCAAATAGTTTACCAACTTTAATTTATCTGAAAGGCCATCCTCTTGTCAAAAGACGTATGTCTTCTTTTCTTTTGTGCTTGTGAAGTTTATAGATCGATCACTATGATGAATTATATGAGGTCGGTCATACTTATACATACGTAACATAACTAATTTTAGATTGTTAGTTCAATAATCTTATGTTAAAGTGAGAAATACATTTCAATTGTCAATTCAAATTTATTTTATTTTCATTTCTTAAATTAGTGAAGTTCTAAACCATGAATACAAATTATTTCATTTGATTGTTATATTGTCTTAATCCAATTCGTTATTAAAAAATTATCATACATCAAGCTAAATTTGACTTAGTGGTAAAGATAACAGTATTATACCTTCTTACATTGTGACTATGAAGTTCTATCTTCACTATAAACACTTTAAGAGTGAAAATTCTTTAACTTTTTTGTAACTCTCAAAATATCTAGCTTGCAGGTTAAGTCGATCTGTGTAAAAGGCAACTCTCCTTACTTAAAATAAATAAGTTTAAATAGAATTCATCATACATGACATTTACAATAAAAACGCAAAATAAAATAAATATCATCATTATAATCCAAATTCTCAAATTTATTTTTTTCCTTGGAGAAGATTATATTAATGAACCTAGAAAAATTCCCAATTTTCCTACCCTGTATCATTAACAATAAAGAATGGAAAAGAAAGGGAGCTTTTACAATAATGGCAGGCTGCTATGCGAGTATGATCAGGGTGGGCATGTCTTGCATGATGGGCCCTCTATAAAAGACGCAAAAGAACAGATTAATTATACAACTAAAGACTATCAATTGGCTACTTAAATTACAGCTAAATAAATTCATCTTAATAATTAAATCTGCTTTAATCAGGAATCTTATGAACAAAATCCGCCAATAATCGTATAAATAGTTGTTTGGCTTTTTAGCAGACATATAATATAATAAGGCCAAATTGTTGATGGCTTCTAATCTTCTATTGCTCGTGATAATTATTTTCTTAATGTAGAAAAGAGATTATGCAAATCTAAGTGATTAAGAGCATTCACCTAGACAGCTGAACTTTCATTCAAACCCTTCAACCAAGGATATAATAAGAGCAAAAACCAAATTTGGACTCAATTTTAAAGAAGGTGTCTCAATTCTCAAGTCACAAACATACCAAATTGTTATGTCAAATGGACAATTTCCAACCATATTACATGTGAACTACCAAGGGAAACCCCCTAAAACTACCAAAAACCAAAAAAAAAATCCTAACTAGTACCTAATTTTGAACATCTAAGTATCACAACATCTCTGAAAATTCAGGTAAATGGTCATCAGGTCTTGTCAACAGATTATACCAAAAAAAATCCATATCGTCGCTATGAGCAGCGACGGCCTTAGAGTCCGTTAAACACGCTGCTGCTGGCTCCGTCACTGATGAATTGCTTAGGTAGCACTGCGAGACACTAGGAAGATCTTCCGTTGACATGGCAGTGTCTTCAACAGACAACACTTCCATCCAAAAATCGTCGTTGAATTCAGGAAATTCGCCGATATATCCCTCCTTTTTCACCACATTTTCCTTGCTACAATTGTCATTTTCACTAGCACTAGTACTAGTAATTGTAGACACTTCACTAGTACACGGTTGTGGGGAAATTGGGTCACGTATGATCGAATGTGTAGGCCTTACACTGTCGCCCTCGTTATTACTATTACTATTATTGCTACTGTCGTTGTAGCAATCTTTCTCCAAAGCATGATCCATGCACTTCACGTGCCTTCGTGGCGGGCCCTCGGAGATTCCATCCTTTAATGAGGACTTCGATCTCCGAGCCCGCTTCTTGGTAGGCCCGGAGGTGGTATCGATGGTGGTGGCCGTGGCCGTGGCCGTGGCGGAGTCGATTTCTGGCTTAGGAAGCCTCTTCTTTAAGTGAGTGTGCCATACATTCTTAATTTCATTGTCCGTTCTTCCGGGCAATTTTGCTGCTATTGCGGACCACCTAAAGATTTTCCAAAATATTTTGATGATAATCAGAATCATTACAAACTAATTAAATAAAATTAATCCTAACATAACCAAATTAATTTACATATCAGTGCCTTAATATGAAATTATAATATTCATCAAGTTGCACCCTCGCAATTTGTTGTGAATTAAAGTACACTTATTGTATAGGGGTCAGAGCAGTCGTTGAATTGTACCAATGAAATTCGTACTGTATGACAAAATCATTGATCCCTACCAATTTTTTAATTCAATCGATCAAATCTTGCACATTTGAAAATTATACCATCCTTTTCTAATTAGTTGCCTTGTTTTCAAAATATCAATGCACTATTACTATGACTTTTAAAACATAAGCACGTAAGAATATCATTATTCCTTAACTTAGACTATTGACTTTATAACTATTGAAACACAAATATACAGTCAATGTCGGTCATCTAGATAGTTCGAGTTAATCTTGATAGAGAATGTAAGCTAAAACGTCGTCTTAATTGTCTAACTGTTAAGCAATTAGCACACCGTAAATGAATTTCTATATTACAAAATAAGTATATAGGGGTCAGAGCCTGATCAGGAATCTTGTAAGCAGCCCACATGATTTTACTAATTTAGGTGTAAATTGGTATGCGACAAAGTTTTTGGGTTAGGCCCACTGCTTCGTGAATCATGAGAAATTCTTATAAAATTAATTACGTAACATAAAAAGCTTACAGAATTTTATTTTTATAATCAATATATTAACTCGTGAATTATGATGCAACCGTGACATACTGACAACTATCTCTTGAATAAATAAGCATACGAGTATAATAAGTTTATGTTTTATTTTGTCAAATTGATTATAATTTGAGTTAATTAAGATTAAGTTAAATTCAATTGAAACATCAATACCTCTTTTTAATCCTAATAAAAACTCAAAATTGATGCTAAAGACTGAGAAAATTAAGTATAATTAACATCGTTTTTATTTTTTTAGTGCAAGTCAATTTGTTTCAAGTTTCAACAGTAAAAAGTAGACTTTTATTACATTGACTAAATTACGCATCCCTATTTTGACAAGGGTTCAAAAATTTAGACTAAACATAATTTAATCCTATAATAATCTTATTAAGAGAAATGATAGAAGTTTACTTTGCATTTCAAATTAATTTGATTATTTGTTTCTTTGTGTTCTTATTGTTTCGATTTTTTTTGTGAGACCAAATAAGATTATTTAGTGATAAAGGGAGTACGATTATTATGGATGATTTTTTTTTTTAAAACAACAATCTTTTAGGAATTCATTAAAATCATGAGCTAACCAATTCAGTTTTATATAAAAAAAAAAGTACCCTTTAAATTTGGCAATAAATAAGCATGAAAATCATGAACATACATACCTATTTCCAAGCATTTGATGCAAATTGATAATAGTATCTTCTTCCTCTTGAGTAAAATTGCCTCTCTTAATATCAGGCCTCAAATAGTTTGTCCATCTAAGCCTGCAACTCTTCCCACACCTTAACAAACCTACAAATATCAAATGTTGCATTTTTTTTAGTGACACCACAATCACCCATCTAAACAGGAAGAACTTTTATAGACAGACAAAACGAGTAGATGATTAAAATTAAAGATCGAGTATTAGTAGAATAATTAATTACCAGCGTGTTTAGGGAGAGCACGCCAATTACTATGACCATGAAGATGAATGTAATTAACCAAGAGTTGATCTTCTTCAGGAGTCCATGGACCTTTCTTCAACCCCATTTTCTCACAACATGGAGCTCTTCCCATTTTCTCTCTGCTCCTTTTTTTTGGTTAGAGATTAGAGAGTATTTTCTCTTTCTTACTCTAAAAAGTGATTGCTCTTGCTAGTTCCCAAATGCTCAAGAGTATATTAGTCTTTGGTCCAATATATACCCTTGAGTGTTTGGACGTATTGGTTGTTTTTTATTTTTATTGGTAAATGCATATTAATGAGGATTATTATATTGACCCACATAGTCTGACTTTGTAAAATACATCTATTACTCACAGATTTTTTAATAAAAGTTTCATTTGTTTTAATATTCGTCAATAAAATACTTCGTCAAAAAAATAAATTTACTTGTGCATGTCAATTTTAATATTTAATTTAAGTTGATAAAACACATTTAATCATTCTATATCCTATAACGACCTCATGTTTATCCACAATATTGTTATTCATGACTCTAATTAACATTATTAATAATTTCATTGAGCACTTCACGGTGACATAAAATCAACTTATTTCGTAAATAATTTTTATGATTGTGCAAAAGAATTATCAAGATAGAATCAATCCTTTGTGATTGTCAATTATATATTTCCATATATAAGGATTTTGAAATCATATATCTACAATTAGTTTGGGATTTTCTTTTGTTAGTGTATTTTTAGCCTAATAGGTCAAATTAAGGATTATAAAAAAATTATTCAAAGAGGTATACAAGAGTTACAAAATATCTTCTTACATACTTACACTACACTGTTTTTTATGCATGGTAGGATGAAATTTTTTTAATTGTAAATCTCGTAAAAATAATTTAAGTTTAATAATTATAACTACAAGAACAAGTAGATGAGAGTTCATTAATGAAGAACTCTAACAGTCTAACACAATCTATAAATTTTTTTTTTGAAGAAAGCCACAAGAGGCACCAACTTTCATTAATAATCAAATGAGAGCTTACAATATGAGACAACTAAGTAGGAAAATTCAAAAGCCAAATCCTGCTACCCAGTTCCCATGGTCGTCCATGAGCTAATTGATGGGCAGCCTTATTACCTTCCCTACGCACAAACGACCAAGACACCCCCTTCTAAGAAATTACAAACATGATAAATATCATCTAGCACCATATGGAGACTACTCTCCCCCCTTCTCTCTAGCTTTGATTGCTAACACAATCTATAATTGATAAGCACCATGAAATTTAAAAAATAAAAAAGATAAAGAAAACAAAAGAAAAGGAAAAAAATAAAGCTTAAAAGAAAAGAAGCAGAAAGTAATTAAAGGGAAAAGACCAAAAAGTTAAACATGTAAATTTCATACTTGGTATGTAAAATATTTTCTTAATGAAAAGGCATATTCCGTATTTTCTAGGAAAGATCTCAAAGTGATTGTAAATTGTCCTATATTTTTCAATTACCACTCACTCTAAAAGTGGGGTTGCATTATTAGTGACGCACGATAAAGCCAAGAATGTAACAGTTCATTTGATTAGAGGTTAATCCTTATATTATAGTCAAATAAAACGTGCCACATGCCAAATTACGTAACATTCATTTAAATATTAAAAAAAAAAAAAAAAATAGATTCAAAGTTGGCGAAGAGGACAAATCAAAGAGATTTGTACAGTTGACAGCCTCCACGAAGGTCACCAGTTATATAAGTTTGTACCTATTAACTTGAAAGCAAGGATATTATGGCTCATCCCCGACCCAATTTGGCGGTTTTTTTTTTTTTTATATCCGTACTTCATATAAATAAATAATTAAATTATATGTACTTCGGATAGATTTGTATGTTGTTCTATAAATTTGTAAAAACACCAATTAATTTAAGTTCCTGGAGAGTTTAAAGGTAAGATAAATTAAGAAACAAATTAAAGATAAATAAATAATATAAAAAAAAATAAAAAAAAAGGGTTGAGATAGCGATATAATTCTTAGCTTCAGAGCATAATTTATGGTTGCATAGGCTCACATTAAATTAGTAAGGTGTGCACATCATGCACTGCAGCTTAATCTAGCTCGTAAGAAGTTACTTCGTATTTTAATAAGGAAAATTAAAAGTTAGCGCATGGATATAGTGGGGAGAGGTTTAATTTCTAATGTATGTATTGTGATGATAATGGAGTTCAAGCTTGTAATCTAAAAGTCACAAAATGAATTTTCCACTATTAAATTTTAACCAAACAAGTTTGGTCGATGAAAAAGGGTATTGAATTGAAAATTATATCACTATATTCTTATCCTTTATTCTTAAATAAAGAAAGGCCTAGGGCACACTGGGGGTGAGATCGATCAACCAATTAATCTAATTAGCCAAAATCATCTATTTACCATCAACGAGAGGAAGGTAGACTTTAATTTTATTTCAAAATATAAGGGGAAAAAAACCTTATAATGGAACATGAAACCCTCGTCACCTGGGTCAAGAGCTAAGTAAGATTACATTAAATTATAAACTCACATAGTAAATGTTTACTTTAACTCTTTAAGAGGTGAGGATGGTAGATATTTGTGAATGGTGTTTGTGATACAGAGTAATAATTAAAGTATAGCATTTCCCCAAATAACCCGACTATATCATAGGGGTTAATAAGACAATACATGACGACTGATTTCAAACTACATACTCGTGTAAAAACAATACTGCGTATTAACTTCAATTATTTATCCATTTCCTTTTTTTTTTACTTCATTCTCCAATGTATTTTGTTAAGGAACTGGACTGAAAATATGAATATTATATATTTATATGTATCTACATATGTGCAATGTACTATACCGTATATATATTGGTTTTGTGTGGAGAAACCAAATAGTTTAATTTTCTACTAAGAAAATACTTTTATTAGTCAATGCATTAAAATTGACGTACCTTTAAAGTAACCCATCTTTGTGGACTATAAATTATTTTATCTTCTACTTTACTACGTAGTACTTGGTACTCCATATTACATTATTTTAAAAGAGGATTATTATTAGTTGTGACTGATAAGTTTGTGAATCAAACACTGGAAAGTATGATATAGACTTTATGGTCAATTAGCTAGTCAAATGAAAGCTGCTTATAATTCTTCTGTTATATGAGCATCATTGTGATGAAAGCATTTTGTAATTAGACATCTTATTGTATAGTACGTAACAAACCATGAAATTTCACTAGTAAATGTTTATTACTATTAATCTTGACTTCGTAAGTATCAAGAAATTAAATTGAGGAGAATTTACTCAATCATGAAAACTTCCCTGAAAATTTCATTTTTTGGATTTATGAGGTTGTTTATAAAACCTACTTAGCATGTATAGTTTTGTACGCAGTATGAAATAAATTTTCATCCAAAGTTTGTAATTAAAAGATCCAAATCAGATCAACAATATTAACAACGATGAAAAACACATAAAGCATGAGATAATAAAACACATAAAGCATGAGATAATAGACTACTAATAAGAAGTCAACAACAAGCAATCTAGCTCCACGTAAATTAAACCCTTGGAAGTGCCCATAAAATTCTTTTAGAGACAGAGAGAGTGCGTAAAATTAAATAGATTACACTACAATAATGATTACAAAGTACTCCGTAAATATTAACAATCATGTAATTAGGGAAAGCCACAAATAACGACATTAGACATCAAAGAAAAGTCATAATTGATTGATCTGGGTTGAAATTTATTAGAAAAACAAAAACCTATAAAATAAAAACTAATCGGCTAATTAACATTGAGAAAATTAAATAAGCCATCATCATGGATTAATTTTCTTCTTTTTCTATTTTTACTTCATTATGCATTCGAAGAAAATCACAAATCTCATATAATCCTAAATCAATCTCTGTATCTAGCTCTGGAAAAGGCCCAAGCATATTGGGTGGGTGATAACACCTACATAATAAAAGTATTAAAAGTATTATATTAATCGGATAACCCTAAAAAAATAAAAGTACGTTGTAACTAATTGGAGGGATGCTAATAATAATAACAACAATAATAATTATATCACATTATCACATCTAACATAAAAAATACTCTATTCTCTCGGTTTTAACTAAGTGGCTACCATCCATACCCCAAATTCTTGTGGTGGGATTTTTAGTAATATTTGTTTGTTTGTTTTTCGTGTGTAGAGATTGTAAATTTGTAGAATTACGTATAGGGTTGTAGATTTAGAAAATTCATCTCGTAGATTTTCTGCTCTTGATAATCAATTCAATTAAAGTATTATCACTTCTGTGATTATACGGAATTCTATCAAGATTGATGCAAAGACATCTAATAATTATTCAGTAGCTTAAAAGCAATGTCATTGATTTAGGGAAGTTTAATACTTGTTTGAGAATTTAGATTTCTTAAGGGATGATTGTAAACTACTAGTACGGATTACTATCTAATGAAATCACATGCTCCCTATTCCATTAAAAAAAAAATTAAAAAAAAATAGTAATAATAATCGAGTACTTACATATAACCTGTAAAACCAATGGCCATAAATTCGGCTACTTTGGTTGGAATTAAGGAATCACAAACCTCCCGATCTTCATCTGAAACGGAAATCAACTGTTTTAAATTTAATAATTAAAATAACAATTATAGCTGATTAATGAATTGATCGACAATACAGATCTTACTTTTGCCTAAACACGGAAAAAGCCAATTCACGAAGTTTTATTTGTGAGAATTGAACAGATTAATAACGCCCAAAGTTCCAGACCAGTATTTATAATTCTAGAGTTTTTATTAGATAAATTTTTTTTAAAAAAAAGTATTAAATACTCTTAATACGATCGTTTTTTAGCTGTTACACTACGTCACTACTTATTGTTATAATTATAATAGTTCAAAGTATAACACTTAAGGGAAAAAAAAAAAAAAAAAAACGAGCTTGTCGTAATGCTTGGACCGGAGTGATATTATTTCCCATAATGATATAATAAATCTAGGCACCGATCGATTAAAGTTTGGTAGCATTCAATTGTTTAAGTGGAAAGTCTTATAAGGTGAAAATGTGAAATATTTAGACCTAATTGTATACTTAACTCCGAAAATAATTATTGTTTATGTTTATTTAATTTGTATATGACCGGAAAAATGTTTATTGTTTGCTTTTATTTGTGGGCAAAGAGTTTATAGTTTGGAGGAGGAAACCTTTGATTCTATTATATGTATTTGTTATTTTAGATTTCATTTGTAGATGTATGACTTTTTATTAATAAATTGATTTAGTACCTAGAGAGGAAAGTAAATGAAAATTTATTAGAAGCCATTTTTGTGTTGTTGGAACTTTGCATTTGATCATTGACAAGTTTATACATAACAGCTCCAATCCTCTCAACAAAACACCTTCAAAACAAGGGACCTTCTAAAGGACTACCTTTTATTTTGTTATCCATCCTAATTATTTTAAAAAAAACAACCTAAAACTCCTTCACATTACATGATATATAACGTGATCATTATGCCATGCTTACTACGTTGTTGTTTTTTCAACTTAAGCAGCCATTTCCCTCCTTTGGCGCCCTTGGTTCTCGGGGCGGAAGAGGGTGGTTTCGGACCGGCTAAACTTGAGGCGGTACGCCTGTTCGCGGGAGATCTGGTAGATGTTTGAGATTACTTCTACGGGCATGGCACGTATGGCGGATGTTCGGCCTGCTAGGGTTTGGAACAAAGCGTTCTCACATGTCTTGAAGGCGATCCACTCGAATCCTTCCTCACCGGCTTGCTTCACCACTGCGAAGTTCTGTGGGACTACCACTAGTTGTCCTTGTCTTAGCTCATCGTCAAACACTGAGTTTCCTTGTGCGTTCACGATTTGGATACGTCCTCGTCCTCGTACACCATAGATTATGCTGTGGGCGTTTAGGTTGTAGTGTGGTGCCATGATTGCGTTCTGCATCAAAAATAATTTAGTTAAAGTTCTACTGACAGATTACTATTTTAGGATATACGGAAAAATATATATTTAATGCTTATATATAGCCCTGATTAATTACCCTGTAGAGGACACCCTTCTCAGCACTCAAGCGGAGGTTGCTGAGGATGGGGAGGTTGAAGCTGTTAAGGGTGGTAAGTCTACCAGCTTCCGGGGAGTAAACATCGGCCTTAGAGGGATCGTCGATGTTCTCACTAAGGCGAGCCGAGCATATGGTCTCTTCCAAGCCGTTAGACCTTGGGCTACGATGGCGCTGTTCCCTCTCATCATCATATGACCTGCTGCTTGGGGGCTTGATCACATGAAGACCCTCTTGCACTAAGACTATGTTGCCTCTCTCGTCCTGCTTGGCTTGGAGCTTCTCCGCTATGTCCTCACTAACTCCGAAGGATTGAGCTACGGACTTGGTGTCTAGGCCACTGAATACGTTGCCGTCGCTGCCGTGTTCACCCCTCTGGGATTCTCCACCCCTGTGATGGTGGCGACTGTGCTCTTGTTGGGGTTTACCAGCTAGGTAGAATCTCTGCATATAAATCATTGATCAAATGCACAAGTGGTGTTATTAATTATTGTTGAAGTTGGTACGTAAGCATCATTTTAAAAAACGTTACATTATTTTCTCTAGTCTTTTATTGTTTGATACATTCAATTTTGACACATTATTTGAGTCTAATATTGGAAAAAGCGCTTGCCAAGAATAATTGTAAATTTGTAACGAATAAAAAGACTATAAGATAAGAAATATGTAACAAAAAGACGAGGTAATAAGGAATATTATTGAAGTGTAACGTACCTTGGGGTAATCCTTGTCAAGTTGGTTAGCATGGTTAGAGGTGTCAATGAGGATAACAGCAACAAGTGGCTCATTTCCGGAGTTGTAAGCCCAGTGAGCAACTCCGGCCGGCATTGCGAAAATGTGGCCTTGACGGAGGTGCCTGATCTTCTGGTGTTGGTCTTGGAAGCGACCGCCCCTCATTCCTCGCTCCATACCCTCTCTCCATGATTCTTGTGACATTGATTCAAATGTCTCGGGGCACCCCGGGATCATCAGCCCACTTATTCCATTCCCTACAAAAATTCTATCACTTTTCAATAATCTACACAATATAACATATGAATGTTATTTTTAGACCGAAATATCTCACAAGTACTCAATACGTAATTAATTACCTTATAATATAAATTATAAATTACTCCGTATTATTATAATGATTATTTGTAGAACTTGTATTAATATTTGTTACCTTGCTCAATGTAAATGAGCTCAGGGCCACTAGTGAAAGAAGGCAAAAGAAGACCATTAGGCTCAATGGTACGCCTAATAACAGACACACCGGAGCATTGGAACTGCTGGTCCTGGGTGTCCCACACCTCAGTCAACCCACCCTCAGCCTGAATCCGATGCGTCGGTTCGAGGGCGGTAAGCCGGTCGATTTGGCACTCATTGCCTTGCATTTCTCGCATCCTTCCTTGGCCCATGCACCCATTCAACAACACTAGTGCTATTGAACAACTAAGAAGAAACAATGTAGTAGTAGACTTAGCCATTTTTACTCTCTTTTTTTTTCTTGTATTTTTGGAGAAGGGTATTTAATTTGTGGCGAATGGAAAATGTATGTGTTGAAGAGGTGAATTTATAGGAAAAATGAGAAAGATGAAAGAGTGACACATAATTTTGATAGTTTGGCCATTCTTCAAAATGCATGGCAATGAGGGCTTACCTTTGTTACACCTAAATTCTGATAATTTTAGCAAGTGGCTGGTTATCCTAAGCTCATATATGCATGCCCACAATACTATTATTTTATTTGTATATGGACATGTAACGGGAGGATTGAGACATAAAAAATAAAAAATAAATAATAAAGGTTTGCTTTTTGTTGCTTTCCTTATATTGTTTGCTAGTAGCTACTCAAATGTTGTTCATGATCAACACCTGTTTTTGATTTTTGTTTTTTTCCCAATTTGTTTAGATTTATGCAATATAGTTGATGAAAATCTATAAGTAAATGAAAAGGTTATAGTTGTTGAACTTAACTTATTTTTACTTAGAGAAACCCTGTTATTATTGATCATAATATGTTTTTGGTGACTTATATTAGTGTTTTGCATTGGTTTAATTCAGATATTGATTTTTACAAACTCAATCTTATTTCATTGATTAAAAGACTTAAAATTGATCAAATTAAAGGGAAACTTTTACTAAAAAAAAAATAAAACTTACTTTTTTTCATTTATTATGGTCTGGGTTGAAGAGAACCTGCCCTTAATTAGCTCAATGTATTAGATAATACTAGAACAAATTGACCCCTTCTTCATATGTAATATCCAAGACACAAAGTTTTTTGTAATTTGAAGTTGATGTCCCATGCATATACATAAATGAACGAACTATATATAGATCAAAATTCTAACTTTTTATACAAATAACTCGAGTCATCATGCTATCTTTATAATGTACAAACTAGTCTTCTCACAGTTTACAAATCTACCGTTCGTCAGACATATCTTTAAATACATATTGATAAATCATCAAAATTTTATACATCAAAAAATGCATACTCTGTATTATACTAGCCCGGCCACGTACGTGTGGTTTGATCAATAAAATGTTAGATTCATTTGTACAAGTACAAAGGCAAAGTGGCTTTGCTTTTAAGTCTGACGAAAACCCTTTTCTTGACGTAAGTAGCATTTTTAATGGAAATCATGATCTTCCCTGGTTCATTTATGTAAAATGAATTTCTTACACAACTTTCAATTTTCTCCTCTGTATGTAACAAGATCTTGTATGAACCTTCATCGTCGGGGATGAATTCGTCTTTGTAACTCACATCCCATCCTACAACTATTACTTCCCATACTACCGTGACATTTACCTAAAAAAAGATTAAGGACGATACATCATGTAATTTTTTATTTTTTTTAAACACACATCATGTAATTTAATCAATGATTAATTAAAAAAAACACGGATAGTAGATTAGTAGAGCACAATAATCTATACCTAGTCTAATAAAACACAAACCCTAAAGTAAATGTGTCATTACTACTAAGCTCACCCATTTTATTTAGAAGGAAAATTAAGAAAAGACGATGTGATGAAAATCAATAATGTGAGATATTAGTATGTATAGTAGTCAAATATCGATTTCATTCTCAAGTACCTAATGCGAACGTAATTATGGAATTGAGGGAGCACCGCCAATTTGTACCTCGGAGATCGGAAGTCTGAACACCAATACTGCACCACCACGGATAACAAACGCTAGGACAGGGTCATCGGATGTGAATTCATCATCATTATCTCGTCTAAACCCACCATATTGGAGTGGAATGTTTTGAGGGGGTATATACCTGTTCATATATTAACACACACACTTACATTGCATATAAATTCCTATGTTTCTGAATAATAAAGTTGCCTATTATACTAGCAAAGAAAGTACATTATTTTAATATTGGAGATTAATCATATGACATTACATTCAAAATATTCTCCAACATTGATCATATATATTCTATGGGTAAATCACTAAATTGCGTTACATGTACACCCTAATATTGTATACCGGCCTTTTGCATTTAATGGATTTTTTTTTTTTTTTTTTTTTTTGGTGACAGGTTAATGTTTAGACTTAACGGACAATATCTTTGGGAAGGTGATAAGGAATTCCCGCCTCCAAAAAAACCCTTATTGTGAGAGAAATGAGATTGATGAACTTTTATCACCAGATCAAGCTTAATCAGCTTGGTATTATACGGAATATTTCGTAAATAATGAAGTTTGATGTATTATAGCCTTACTTCAACAATGTTTCAGTAACTTTGTGAGGTCTTGCAAATATGAACTTTTCTCTAGTTCCAGGAGTACAATATTGTGTAACTACACCATGGTACAAATAGTACCAGAAGGGAGGATTTAGTATAATCTGCAAGGGCAAAAAAATAATAAGGTTATAAAAATAATTCTAAAAATGAATACAAGAAAGCCCAATTTAAATAATTTATTAAGAAAATAAAAAGGATAAAAAAATTCTTTTAATTACATATTGTATTTTTTTTAATAGTGATTGTTAATACCATACTCATGAATTTAAGAGAATATAGAGTTAAACCACCAACAAAGCCAAAAAAAATTCAATTTCTTAATTATGTTTTATTCTTTTTACATGGTAAGGTACAATAAAAGCATAGAAGCAGGATGAGGATTTAAACCAAGGGATATATGCATCTGTTCTTTTATATCGTTCCAATTTTATCATGATACTTACGTGCTTATAAATGAGCTCGGGATAATAACGTTGAAAGAGAGAGACAACATCTTTGCCCATAGGGCCAAGCTCCTTCATACGACTCCCAGGACCTGGAACATTTTTCATGTCACTAATCAAAAGAAAAGAGTCCACACCACCAGGCTTAAAACTCAACTTTTTAATGGTTTGCTCCATAAATTGAACTCTCCATCTTAAAAAATCCCTCCTATTTTGTTCTGTCCCAAATGTTTTGGTATACAATTCCTTATCCTTAAAAGCCCCATAAGAATTAAAACACAAAGGATGTCCTTCATTATCAACACTATCTATAAACACCATTTTGTTAAGCTCCTTTTTATCCCCTAAATTTTCATTAGTAATATCATCAATTCTTTGTTCCGCCCTCCAAATTAAGGTTTGTTTTAGGTTTTCAAAGGCCTCATTAACCCTATAATTTTGAGCTTTAAGAAATTTTAACAAAATTATATCTGACCCTTCATGACCCTTGCTTGGCAGTAAGGGCACACCCCAAAGGGTAATGTCCTTACAGTTTTGTGACGTCCCATTTCTTTCTTCTGCAAGGATGCAATTCCCATTTAAGGCATCCTCTAATTTCGACTTCAATTCGATTAATGCTTTCTTCGTGTTTACTCTTCTCCACCTCCGCCTGAATAGTTTCCTCCTCCTACTTGGTACCTTCCCCTTTGTTAAGGTATCATAATCGAAATTATTAGTATGGCTTATCTCTTTTCCTTCAATGATAAAGTCCTCGTGATCTGATTCTTCTTCGCTAAGGCTTGATCCCTCATCACTTGCCTTTTCGAAAGACGCATCATCATCATCATCGTCGTCGTCGAACAATCCTCCCACCTTAGATGGTTGTGTAGCTTCCCCTACAACAGCACCACTGACCGGAGATTCTGTTGGCCGGGTTGCTATGCCTCCGAGGTCATGAGATGATATGGTGATCATTGACATCAATGATTTCTTTAAGCTATTTTTATGATCCCTTAAGCCTACGTCATTAATCAGAAGCTATAATCCATTATTAATTTAACGAATCATATTAAGCATTTTTGGGGTTCGTTAAGGTGGTTGGTAAATAATGTAAGATTCAAAAATTGCGACTATATAAGGAAAAGAAAAATCTTATATTTTCCAAAGGTGAACAACATGGATGTCCTAAAGCACAAGTACTATAACCTAGACGTCTATACTTAAACATGCTTTTTATGTTCGCCAAAATTTACTCCCAACTTAACGGATAGAAAGATTTTGATATAAGTAAAGACAATACTATTTCTAGACAATCCTTTTTAAAAATTTAATCCTATTAATAATGACATGGAAGAGGATTTAAAATCTTGCAAGTAATTGATACTCCTAAGAGGCTGAGATGAATCTATCATCTAAAGTTAGGTTCTGGATAGGAAGATTTAACCTGAGTTTGATTATAACCCAAAGCAAATCGCCCTATCCGAACCCATTTGCCAATTGCCACCCATACTCCTATTAAACTTATTCCTATGAACTACGGAGTATGACATTAAATACACTGAGCGCGTCATTTAAGCAAGGTTAAGATTATTTTTTTTAAAAAAAAAGATACATCTCTGTAGGATCTTAATTCATGGCCGAATGAAGAGAACATACCCGTAGGCCGCAGGAGTTAAAACAGAGAACATAAACTGTCAGTAACTCTATTAATTGATTTAATGCTGTAAATGTGGAAGCGTCAATTAATGAAAATGAAAATAAAAATAAAAAATAAAATGGTTATAAAGGACAACATAGTGAGAAAGAAAAGAATAAGGAGCTGCAATGTAAGTATTTGCACTACATACATGATTTTCTAGGCGGTTAGCAAAAACCAGCCACTTACAAGACCTAGAATGAAGACGGACAGGAGAGGTGAAACGTGCTAATGTTATGTACACCAACCTTCAGCAGAGACAAATATTGAGCATAAAACATGAAGCTATGTACAGGGCTTATTGTATTCTCAAGATTCTCGATATTTTGTCAGGTCAAACGTCAAAGTGCTAGAGCAGCTGCAAACAACAGAGAAATTAGCCAAAATTAAATAGAGTCTCTGGGAAACTCAAACACCAATATGTACTGTAACAAGGGAGCTCCAACAATTAAAAACCATATCCAAAGCATCATAATTTTTAAAAAATTGGAGCAAGAAGGAACTCACCTTCGCTCAGAATCCCTGTAAACCCCAACTAAAGCCTCAGCTTTGTCATAAAAGCTGTCCTTGAGTGATATCACAATACTTTGGAAACCACAGCCCCCATCAGCATCCTGGTCAAGTCGAGCACCTCCACAGGATTTTGACCGGATAAATCCAGCAACCTTGGCAACGTTTAGATTATCTAAAGCAGCATCAACTTCATCTAAAATGAAGAACGGTGATGGCTTAAAGCTGCACATATATATAATAGGTCAGTACATGACAGGTTGATTAATAAATTATAAGAAAACATTTATAGAAGGCATTGTTAAACATTTTGATGGCTTGAAAATACACTGCTACAATTCATGGGTTGAAAAGGAAAATGATAGCATAAAAAGTTCACGCCTACACCACCAGCACTCAGAAATCAATATTCACTTTTGTCAATGGAGCACACTGCAGTACTGCACACCTCAGAAGATTAAAAATCAATGTCTCAACTATCTTCCCAATCTCTCCTCAGCCCTCGATTTAATCTCCCAAAACATAAATTAAGTATGAAATCAAATAGATAAAACATGGCAGTATGGAACAGTCCAATGACAAAATGTATCACACCTGTGTATAGAGAAGAGCAACGCCAGAGCAGCAACAGTCTTTTCACCACCAGAGAGTTGTTCCATATCACGGAACCGTTTTGTTGGCGGCATAGCAGTGTACTTAATACCATATAAAAATGGGTCATCCTCATTTTCCAAATTCAGATATGCTGTCCCGCCAAGTGGATGTGTCTGGCTCCTAGTTAGTTGTTTGTATATCTTGTCAATATTACTTGAGATATGGTTAAATGCATCCATGAACTTCTTGTATCTGCACAAGAAAATTAATGGTAATCTAGTCATATTCTTCTGAAGCAAAAATCAAAATATGGTTAAACATACAAATCTGCAAACACAGGAAAAGATTTGCAAATAACTTGACAGCCAGCAACTGCCCAAAGACCCCAAATAAAATGAAGAGATGACTTGCTCAATCACATTACAGAGCTGAACCCACATCTCATTCATCTTGATTTCAAATAAGCTAATAATACTCGTAAGTACCTTAGCTCCCTGACTGCATTAAATCTGTCAGTTATTTCTTTCTCTTCTTTTCTAGCAGCATCAAACTCCTTACTTACAAGATCTTCCTTTTGTTTTAGAGCCTCATACTGGTCAAGAGCCTTGAGATTAGGAGCTGATCTTTCAATATCTGAAATGAGTGCATCCATCTTGTGTTTGAAATCAGCCTCCTGCTTATCCCGTTCAGATGGCCTCGTATCCTTTTGCAATGATCTGTCCAACTCACTAAAATCAAACACTGGACCTTGGCTGGAATCGGTTTCCATTGGGTCTGAGACCGTAGGCAGGCTTATTTGCTCTAATTCACACTTCTCCAATATCTCCTGCTTCCTTGATGAGAGATTATCGATTTGTGTTCTCTAGTAAAGATTGAAGGGATTTTCATGTCAGAAAATCTTGTCAGAAAATCCAACTAAGATCATGAATAGAAGAAAGGAACTTGAAGACAACTAACCTTTACATTAATTTGACGGTTCAGTTTATCTAAATTTGTCATACCACGGGAGATCTTCTTCACTATTTCCTGCTTTCCACGTTCACATTCGTCTAACTTGGACTTCCACCCTAGCAACAGAAAAGGTTTTTTAGGATAGCTCATATTCCCACACACACACACACACACACACAAAAAAAAAAAAAGATTCAAACAGTCGCAGAGAGAAGACATTATAAATTTCAAATGGAGAGCAAAGACACAGTATGTTAGCCAGCACAGCAAGAATCTACAACAACCAAATCTTTCCCCTATTTTGGGGCAGAAGAGAGTATTAGAAGCTTCCACTTAGAAAATTAATGCAGACTTTAAAGACTAGCTAATTTCATTTTATATATTGGATTGGGAATCAAAGAGGAAGACAAAGAACACCTTGTAATTCATCCTTCATTTGATTGATCTCAGCGGTAATACTCTCCATTTCTAACTTAGATTCAACATCTTTGTCCTGAAGTCTTTTGAGTTCATCTTTCAAAGCACTAAGAGATGACTGAATCTGCAAAATTTGCGATTCAAAATCCTGGTTCTGTTCATACTCCATCCTGAAAATTCAAGGAGATTTACAGAAAGAGGCAGTCCAATGTTAAACTATAATATACAAGGAAAAGCCCAAAATTCACCAAAAACTAAACTGGTGGATACAAATCATGGCAGTAAAGGCAGAAAATATCACATGATGTTATTTACTTTCAAGAAAAGTCGTTCAGAAAGTAACAATGTGAAGATCAAATACCAATATTCAGTGCTTTGCAAAATATGTGAAAAGAAACATCGAAATACACCACATAGTATTTTCCAGAAGATTCATAGATGAAGCAACAACTTGCACATTTGCTTTTCACATATGTAGGCAACAAAAGCTTTGGCTTCACATATTTCAGTCATAGAACATTCTCTACCAGATTATGAATAACCTCCGCCTTTTCTGTTCTAATCACTTATTGTAGACTCTTGTTTCTAGAAAAGTTCAAAAATGGTGACTGGGTGGAAATATGTAGATAAAGTAAGAGATTGAAAAAAAGGTGTAAATATTGTGGGGTAAGATGGTAAAAGATGTTTGCCAAAGATAAAATAAAGTAGAAGTGGCTAAGACCAAAAAAGACCTCGAAACTATTAGGTGGGTAGAACAAAAAAAAAATGAACAGATTTCCAAGTTGCTATCATTGTTCATTGCTAGTCTACAGAAAGGACTAGATCAAACGTGTACTTGAGTAGATTCCCGTCGCTGTATCAACTCCCCAGAACTCAAATGTATCGCCTATCTGAGTTTGAATTACTGTTAGAAAACACTGGATGTAAAATCATAGTTCCAGGATATTTAGTGCTTAATAACTAGTAACTACGCTACCCCATCCACCACCTAAATAATAACCTAAATCAGAAAAGTATGCAATCATACGGCAAGGTACTTCAAATAAAAGGACTAATCATTACAAAGAACATTAAACAAGCCAACCAGAAACTTTATAGATGAAATCTAAAAGAGATGAGCAGAATTGCTGAAATCTGAAACACCTTTGCCTCAAGGCTTTTATAATCACTGTATAGGCTATGTGTCAAATGGACAGACAATGGTAGTACGAGTGTGCTAGATATAAAACAAACAGTATGAATGATGAAAAAAGCAAGAAACTTACTGATACTTCAGCTTTGAAATTTGGTTACGCAAGGTGACCTTTTCCTCAAAAGTTTCTGCATCAGCTGTGAGTTGTGTCTCCTCATATGCCCGGATGTCAACACCAACAGCTTCCTTAAAATCTTTGTAGATGTGATCAACGATATCATTTATCCTCATCTCCAACTTCTGTATCTCTCCCTTTCTCTTCTTGATTGTAGCATCTAGCTGCAATAGAGCACGTCATGTAATCGAGATTAGACCAAGCACAGTTTACGTAAAGTCCAAAAAATGTTTAGAAATTTGCATACATTTGCATGATCAGGCTCAATCCTGCGGATTTCTTCTTCGATGTTCCTCTTTTCATTTGCCAATTTCTTTAGCTTGTCCCGAATACTTTTCTGCAAATAAATATATAAGAATTATACTGCTTCAAAGGGGGTGGCAAAACTACACATAAATGACAGTCAAAATGAAACCTTATGATCAAAAGGAGTTAAGATAATGTCACTTGACCTCCTAACTTTTGGGGAGGGGGGGGGGGGGGGGGGGGGGGGGGGGGGGGGGGCGGGGCCGCGGGGGGCAGTAACTCCTAACTAAATGTGAGAGCTAAGTATCCTAACTATCTGGACAACAAAGGAATAGCTATACTTGAATTCAATATGAAATTACCTCTTCTATTTCTGCATACTTCATCTTCTTTTCCAAG